CTCTGGGCATCTCCTGGACATCAGTGCATCCTTCCCCCTGCTCCTTTGACTCCACATGCTGCCAAACAGCCATGTAACAATGTCTTCCCCATTTCCTTTAGTGGCATTTTATCGCTAAACGCTGGCTCATGTTGCCATGAATGGTTGCACAGTGACTTCCCAGAAGTTTCAGGTATTGCTCTCCTGTAACTTGTCTTGTAACTCCCTTGCCCATCCCAAGGTTCATGACATTTAGGTCTCCCTTACGTTGCTGTCAGCATCTATTTGTCTTACTCACTCACCTACTGATCAAGGCAAGGCTGGGACAAACTCATGTAACACGGTACAATGAAGAGAAGAAAGTAACAAAAATGCAGAGTCATTGCTGAATTAGACAGTTGTGTCTTTTGGGGTTCTGCTTTATTCAGCCTCAGCCAAAAACAGGCTTGGGAAAGCAAGGCTGTTTTGTTTCTTTTGGGACTAACTTCATTTTTCAACACGTAAGGAAGTGACCTATCTTTGCACTGTGTACCTACAGACTGTTGAACTTAGATGGGGAAAGCTGCACATAAAAAGTTAATCTCCTTTATGAAAAGGGTAAAAAAAATGAAAAAAGAAAAAAGGTATATATGTGGATAACCTCACAAATCTGCTTTAGTAGATTTTAAGATGGAAGGTTTCATTAGTAAACCCAACAGAAGGCGAAGTGGAGAAAAACAGAACTAATACTGGAACTAATACTGTAATATCGTACTTTGACACTATGTACTTGCACACTGCACAGGTCTAGGGTGCAGCCTCAGGCACTGGCACTCAACTAGCTCTACTGCTTATTTGTCAGAAAGTTCCTTGCTCTCTCCCTGGCTGTGCTAAGCAGCTCTCTCACACAATACCTTAGTGCAGGATGAACAACAGCATATACCAGAGGTTACTCACCACAGGGGATACAGATAAGGCCTCCCTTTCTGTGAGAAAAAGAGATTATCTCTGAGGATGTGTGCATTGCCCTTTCACCTGCCACAGAACAGGTCTTGGGTGAATTAACTTACTAGTATCTGTGCATCTAGAGGCAACCTGAACAATCATTCATAATAGAACATACATATCTTTCTGTAGATGTTTGGGTTAGCTATTTTTCTGGAAGATGCTTACAGAAAGAGAAAAGAAGAGAAAAGAAGGAAAGAAGAAAGGAGAAAGGGGAAAGGGGAACAGGGAGGGAAAAAAAAAAAAAATTGAAAAAAAAAAAAAAGAGAGAGAAAACAAAACAAAACCTTAAGTCACCATAACAAACTGTTAGGTAAATCTTATTTCAAATTGATCCAATGAAGGGATGGATTGTATTTTTGCTTGGGCTTGTGGATAGTTTTCACTTCAGAATAAAAGTCAGGATTCAGTTATCTTACACATAAGCATCTAATTTCATGTTTCTAATGTTTCCTTCTTTGGCCTCCAGTCCTGCTGCAGAAGATAAATATATATTTTTTTAATTCCTGCTACAGAAGATCCTGGATCTCCCATAGGTGCTGCATCTAATCAACATGACAGTTCTGCATGGGCATCTTGGTTGTTCACTGCCTGCTAACTAGTACTGGAGCTTACATGAAGGTAACTGGATTTAGCCCACTTGTCCAACCATTTATGTAGCAACATTTCTCAAAACAACATTGTAAAAAGTTACTTTACACTTGTTTTCTCTGTAACTCTAGGTGCAATACCTGACATTCCACCTCCTCTTCATCTTTTTCTGCTTAAATATTTTTTCATATGTGCTGTTCTGTTAGGTCAAAGCTTAGGGACAAAGTTTAGGGATTAGATTAGTAATTCACCTAGCCTGAGCTGCCTCACCCATAGACCTTAGAAACTTCTGCTTGTCGATTACTCAATAGTCTCTGTTGTTCACTATCACCTTTGTAAAGAAGGGGCATGACTAAATAAAGGATGAAATTTCTGTGTTAGCTTATTCTATTGCTGATAGTAGTCCACTTTATCCTGGCATGCCAAATAAGCTACACGCCTCCTCAACACCCACCCATTTTGCTCTTTCCTCCTGAATATCAGTATGACAAGCTGGGTCCCTCCTTTTTCTTCCAAAGCACACTGATTGTCTTTGTAGGTTGCTAGGATCATCTTCCCAGCCACTTACTGCTCCCTTATTCTCTCTTATTTGGCACTGAGAGGTGCTATCCTCTGACCTATGCACAGAGATACAATACAGAGTGGAAAGAAAAAGACTTTGCTTGGTTTCATGCCTGGAGTAACAGAGTAACAGGGAGTCAGACAATGTCTGCATGAAGACATTTTCTCAGGTCCCCAAATAATGGGAGAGAAAGAAGTGCATCAAATAGCATATATTCTACTTTCAGCATGAATCAGGAACAATCATTGTTGCCTATGATTAAATGTTTTTCTTTTTTAATCTACACAAAGCTATGAACAAAGAGCTGTTCCTCAAAAAGTTACAATTCCAGGAAAACAACAAACCATTCACTACCAGAAGTCGTGGATGGCACTGGACAAAGCAAAATTGTCTCCCAACTTATCCTTGAACTGTCTGAAACTAGGTATCCAACACAGAACTCACTGTTGGGTATGAGAAAGCTGAGATGAAGATTCACAGAAGACAAGTAAAATCAGGTGAGAAGTCTTAGTGGTTGTTCTCCCCCCCAAAAAAAAAAAAAAAACCAACTTCATTTTCTATGTCCGCATGTAGATAGCATGTGAGCAATATGTGAGCAACATGTGAGCAACATGTGAGCAACACTGAAATCCGTCAGAAAAGAAACCTTCAACTCTGTCTTGTCATGTTAATTTCCAAGTCAGAAATGAAAGATATTGGCTAAGACACTAAGACAGCTGACCTAGATAGAACAAGCCAAATATATATTTTAATGCATTTTGACTTCAAAAATTTCATGTGTGAAAAACTTTAAGGTAACCAATTAAAATTAAATTGAAGGAAATCGTTGAAGGGACATGTATTCAAATCATTCAGTAGCTAAGCATAGAGGATGATCTCAGTCTAGTAATGGAAAAACAACTTATTTCTTCTTGATAGGGAAAAAAATAAACAAAACACAGAAGATTATACTTTTTGCTAAACTTATGACACAGAAATATGTAGCAAAGTTCATAAATACAAGATTAGACAGTATTTTGGGGGGGAGGTGGGGAAGTATGTTCATTATATCCACTTAAAATATTGGTAACATCCTGAATTAATCCATGTTATTTAGTGTCTCTCTTTTCCTTTGGCACATTGCAGCACTGAAGATTACATTCAAATGGCAATGCTGTTCACATTTGTAATTCATCTTTCTCACCAAAGCAAACCAAAGCAATGAACCCAAATGGGTTAATATTTCTGTCTTTATTTCGTATTTTCTTCTGGTGAGAATCAAGCTCTCAATTTCGATGAGGATACAGATTTTAACCAGAATAATGTATCTGCATCTATCAGAGGCAGAAACAATCAGGAACATACATTAATATCAAAATAATGTTGATTATTTTTGGTTGATAATAACAATAATTATCAAACAAACAAAAAACCTCTCCATGAATCGTTAACAAAAAGCTGAAGAAGCTTATTGAACATGTTGTTCATTAAGAACTGATTGTGTATAATTCTTTTGATGGCTTAGAGGTATTTATTACTATATTACAGTAGAAAACTGTTCCTGACTAGCATTGTTTACCTACTGCTTTTCTTTGTTGTATATGGTGAGAGAAGGGCTCCATTGATAATACATTAGAATTAGTGAACCGTTTCTGGGTTTCATTTTTGGAGGGGGATTTCTGTTAACTCTTTCCATTTCACAATGAAAACCTGTCATGTCTTCCTTTTCTTTACCTGTATTGTCGTCTTACCTGCCGACATGTGACATGTAATGTAAAGTCTAAGCAGCACTAAAGTGCTATCTAAACTGTTAAATGAGGGTTTAAATGACACTTATTGATTTCTAACGCTTATGAAATCCCTCTGCACAGAGGGAAGGAAAACGGAGACAATTTTTCTCAGTGAGGTTAGAGTTTTATCCTGTTAATTATTTCAAGATTAACAGACTTTTACTGCTGGTTACTAATCATCCAGCTGTGCAGCTTGCTTCCATGTCATTTGTTTTCTTTGCTGATGTTTGTACAAATAAAATAGCTTGAACTGATAATTTAAAATGTAACAATGTATGTCTTACAGTATCTACACCTTACATAGATCCTATGCTCTTTTCTGCTGTATCCCAGGATTTTATATTGGAAATTGAAAATAAGAATGACAAGGGAATGGTGGGAATGATGAATGTATCAGAATGTCAGCCCACAAGGTATGAACATAAAAATGGTCTTGTTTTAACACCTTAGTGTTTTTGTTTGGTTGGTTGTTTTGTTGATGTTGTTTAGATTGGTTTGCTAGTTATTTCAGATCACTTAGGACTGTGTTTTGAAAAATATTTGCATCTATGCATATATGTCAGTCATTCCGTATAAAAATGAAAAAAAGCAAAGATCTAAAGACATTGCTTTGAGATAAACCCACTGTATAAAGTAGAACATTTTATTTCTGTACATGGATGCCTTAGTGATATTCCTGTATTGCACAGCTCTCAATGCTGCAAAACTACCACTGTAATGTGGTGCACTCAAAACCAAAGTGGACTCAACTAATTGTCAGGCAGATTATAGGGGGTAGAATGGAGAATACCAGATCTTCTTCCTTAGGGCAGTACTGGGTATACAGATGCTTTTCCTTTTATTTTTATATAAAATCTTGTAACGTGTTAAAGAAATGTGTGTCCAAAGGCATTGAGAAAGATGATGTGAGGAGAAAGAAATAACTCAGTGTTCCTTTTATGATATACTAGTATGATATATTTTGTGATATAGCCTGGAAGTAGTACTATATATCATATAATAGTATAAGGGAACAAGAGAACCGCAGTAGGGGTCTTGAATTCTCCAAAGGCAGGATAAGAGCATTTGCCCTACCAAAGAAACTGGCTTAATATTTGCACTTATTTCGACTGATTTATTTTTTTTCTAGGTTAGTCAATGACATTTAACAAAGAGAAACTCACCTCAGAATATTCAACAGCACAGGTGTGACAGAGGACACACAATTTCCAATCCATTTTCTACCTGAGACAGTCTTCCAATTTCAAGGCAATGGCTGTAATTGCTGAATTTCTGACTTGGTTTAAGAGCAGCTATATTTTGCCAAATCTATGACTAGTAGTTAAATTTATCCATTTGTTTTCCTTTTGTCATGCTTTTACTGATAATTGAAACAAAGAAAAAAATATATATTTTTTTGATTTTTCTATTTAGGCAAGTAAATAGAAAATTTTCAGATCAAATGGATTTTTATTGTGCTGCAAAAACAGGTTTATACACAGTTCTAATTATGGATAGAAAAGGCCTTTAACTTGTTAATTAATTTAAAATTTTAATGTAATGGAGAAGTCACTGGAACAGAATATTGTTTGTCTAACAATTAGTTTTCCTCCTCATTAAGTAATGTATGCTCAATTCCTATCTGAAATTGTCTTGATTCAATTTGCAGCCAATGGAATTTGTTTTCACTGTTTAAGAGCCTTCTATTACTTTAATTCTGTTCCCCATAAGCATAGTTATAATTTATGACCATGGCAATACAATCTTCCTCTATTGCCTTTAGTCAGCTTTCAAAAACAGTATCAACTTTAGCTCTATCACTGAAGCCAAGAGATGCAAAAGGATGTAGAGTATAAGAACAAAATATGTTTAAACTATGTCCTTTCTGACCAAAAAGTAAATCTCCAAATAATTCTTTTCAGTCTTCTGTGCTTAACTATCTACTGAAAAAGGCAGAAAATCATCTTTGTTATAATGCTCTTCTATTCATTTTCATTATTCTCTTTTTCTTCATCAGTATCTTCTAAGGAGAGCCTTCACTTTGACATACTAGCTTATAAATCCTTGTTTCTTTAAAATGTAATAGGTTTTTTTTTGTTTTGTTTTGTTTTTCCTTGTTAAAAAAGGAAAAAAGAACCAAAATAATGGTATAGAAGTATCAGTAAAGTAAAAGTCATTTTTGCCTTTACTCTGGTTTCATGTTAGAAAAAAAATAATTCTGTCCTTTAACTACTGTAATGTAATGAGAGAATTGTTTTTGACATTACAAGATGGAAAGATATAAAGTGCCCTAAAAATGAAAGGGGAGAAAAGATCATATACAAATGGAAATGGTGTGAGGAGAGGGAGTCGGGTTTAATGGATTGACCGTTTATAGTGAAGTCATATGAAAAAGGTGGATCTTTACAAGTAATGAAAGAGGTTTGATTGAAATAATTTGGACTGATGAAATCTTTGCTGTTGTCATTTTTTTTATAGGTAAAGATTCCTTGATGACAACACAAATGAAGACCCACCACATGTTCTTTACAGGAGACCATATAGTGGTCTATGGAAGATCTCTCTGTCTTTTCTGTCACAGCAGCTCCGTTGTATTTTAAGTACACAGTGGTCAATAAGAGAGAAAACATTTCTTAACCCTAGACTTATTCTTTTAGACATAGGGAAATGCATTGGTAAGTCTGCCGGTGAGTCTGCTCACATTGTGTCCATCTGCCGGCTGAAAAATGAGAGCTTGTGTGTTTGGCTTTGTGCGTCTAATTTTACACGCCCTTTGGTTTTATTCCAAGTACTTCATGTGCAATATTTCCTGCCAGGAAAAATGAAATACTCAATGTTGGACAAAAAAAAAAAAACTTTAAAAAGAAAAAAAATAAATTATACATCATACATGATCTGCTCCTTAGTTTTAAGATTTAGCAATAAATTGAAAAACAAGTTATGTTCAATTTGCATAAATACTTGAATCTCTTTTCTGCATTACCTTCTTCTGCCACTGTTTGAAGAGATCAAAAAGCCAGAAGAAAGACCAATACCTGTTTATGCCTCCTGGGTATCTCATTGTAGGACAGCAGTATGCACCTAAAGGAGAAAGAGAAATTTCTGTTCCTTTCAAATGGTTTGGCACTGTGATGAAAAAACAGAGTTTTTGTAATCCTCTCAATACAACAATCCTCTCGCAACAATATATTTTAAATTGTATTTCCTACTGTTTGTGATGATGTTCAGTACTTTAAAACCCTCAGATATAAAATATTTAATAATATAGTATTATTTGCTTGACTAATCATGAAGATTTTATTGACAATTGAATTTATTATTATTGATCTGAAGTCCCTAAGTGTGGTGTATTCAGGTCATTCTGTCTTTGTCTTGTGTCTATCAAGTCTATCAAAAATTAAGCGAATAACCAGCACTCAAAAGGTTTTTTTTTTTTTTTTTTCCAAGGTCTTGTCTTGTAATTTCAGTTAGATTGAAATACATTAGGTTGAACAAAGGACAAAGACATTAATCATAAGCAAAGAAAATAATACACACACCCACTATAATCAGAGAGAGCAACAAAAAAAGGTTATCTTTCAGTTCAGGAACTATAACAAAGTCTGAAGGAGCAGGCACTAAATGCAGAATAGAAATTCAGCTTCTGTTAGAATCACTTAGCAGGTTGGAATATCCACATGTTAAACAACTTCTATGGACAACTTGGACAACTTAATAGTTAAGTTACACCTCTATGACAAGATTAAAAATATATATATATATTTTTTGTCAAGCTTTAATTAGTTACTTGTGAATATTTTCATTCAATATTGCTATTTATGAATTGTACAGGAGAATGACCTCAACAGCATTATTGAAAAGATGGAAAATGATTATATCGTAGAGCAGTGTCTTTTTTCACTTTGATTTTTCTATTCTAATTAGTGTAAATGTTTTCTGGGGTTTTTATCATGGTTAAAAATAACACGGGGCATACATAAAAGAACAAAGCAGCCTTACTTTCACAGATATAGTTTAGGATGCAATGAAACAGCAAGCTCTAAAGGAACACCTGCACTGAAACCTTGCCCACCTCCTCCTACTTCTTCTCTGGCAGACCGCCTGATCTGGGCTGCCAGCTCCCCTCCACAAGCAAGGACAGCTGCAAAAGAGAAAAAAATCTCATCTTCATCAAAACACTCTTTGAAACTCTTCTGAGAGTAAACATTCTTCATTTATTAACAGCTTAATGCTTTGATAAAGCTCACTTTGTTAAGTAGTTTGGCTTCCAAGAACTGCCCACGTAGATATTTGCATGAAGTTTATAAGGACTTTTCAGACAACAAGGGATTGACAGAAATATTGCTACAGGCATAGAAATAAAAACAGAGAACATATTCCTACCAGGAAAAGAGAGGAAAACTCAAAGGAAACTTATGTGCAGCAGGCTTTACCATTTTCTGAATTATCATAGCCCCCTCTGTATGGAAGTGTCATTATATATAATGGTGAATAGCTTTGCACTTGATTTGGAGTAACTCAATGAAAAGTTTATTACAATACATGCTGATATAACTACAAGAATACAAAAACACAATAAACATTTCAAAGCTAGTGCAACTCAAAGTGATGGTCATTTACATGCCAAGGGGGGGAAAGGAAACAGAACTGGAAATATTGCCTAATTATAATTTTTGTAACTAGACGGTTTAGCACGTAATTTCTCCTAACAGCAGCAACAGGAGACTAATGTTAAGTATTATAAGAGTTCATGAATAACAAGTTCTTAGATACGATATTATAAACCATTGATATCTGTCTTCAAAACAGGTTGTGAAGTAATGTACACCTTGTTCTCATAGTGAAGTTGAGAAGTTGAAATGATACGTATACATACATACAGAGAGGTCAATATATAATATATAGATATCAATATATAATATCTACGATGCATATTAATATAGAACTATAAATTAACAAATTAATTATAAAATTAATAGAAGAACATTATATATTTATTTATTTATCTTGTTGGGAATTAGTTCCTAAATTTTCCATGACACAGCCCACTTGTTCTTACCTTTGTGTTTCATTAAATATTTTACAGAGAATGGTTGAAAAGAAATTTGGTAGAAAACAAACATTTCATTTGGTAGAAACCAGACTTTTTTTTTGTGGGAAACAAAGTTAAAAATTCTTTTTTTTTTTCTGTTTTTGTTGTTTGTTTTATTGCAAGAACTTTCTAATAACTTGCTTAGTACTTAGAAAATATATTTTTTTGAAGTAGTGCCAGAACAAGACATGCACACAAACTTAAACACAGAAGGTTCTCTCTGAACACCAGAAGCAGTTCTTTCCTGTGAGGATAACTGAGCACTGCCAAAGGCTGCCCAGTGAAGTTGTGGAGTCTCCCTCCTTGGAGGTAACAAAAACCTGTTTTGATATGGTTCTGGGCAACCTAGAATCAATCAAATCAAATCAAACCAAATCAAATCAATTTGAATTGAATAGTTCACTCGAAAGAGACTTTCAAAGACCATCTAGTCCAACTGCCTGACCTCTTCGGAGCTAACCAAAGCATATTATTGAGGGCACTATCCAAATAACTCTGAAAGGAGGGTGTCAATCACCTCACTAGGATGCCTGTCAGAGTGTTTGACCACCCTCACAGTAAAGAAATTTTTTCCTAATGTGAAGTCTGAAACTTCTCTGGTGCAACTTTGTGCTGTTCCCATGCATCCTTGTCATCAGTTACCAGGGAGAAAGGATCAGAATCTTCTCAACTTCCCTTCCTCAGGAACTTGTTGAGAGCATGTGGTAGTTTTAATCAGGTTGGCCAGCTGAGTTCCACTATGGCCGCTCTCTCCCTTCTCCTTCCTCCCAGAGGAAAATATGACAGAAAAAGCTTGAGGTTTGAGAAGGTCACATGGAAGCACAGAGAGAAAGGGAAAAAAAAAAAAAAAAAAAAAAAAAAAAAAGAGTTATTCTCTACTTCCCATTAATGAGCAATGTTTGGCCACATCCTGGGAAGCAGGAACTCAAAACACATACTGGTTGTTTAGGAGGACAACCCCTTCCCACACAAGAGCCTTTTTCCCTGGCCATTTTTGTTGCTGAGTGTGACATCAGGTGTTATGGAATATCCCTCAGGTTGGTTTAGGTCAGCTGCCCTGGTGATATCCCCTCCCCATCACTTGCCCACCCCCAGCCTGCTGGCTCTTGGGGGCTTGGAGTGAGTCCTGATGCTGTGCTAGTACTATGCAGACACAACACTGGAGTGATACCAGTGCTGTTCCAGCTACGAGTGCAGAGCACAGCACTACATGGGCAGGGAAAGGTGACTCCATCCCAGACAGACCCAGCACAGAGCAATGAGGTCACCTGTTAGCCTCCTTTTCTCCAGACTAGACAGCCAAAGTGTCCTCAGCCTCTCCTGCTCTAGCTAACTCCACTTCAGAAGGAGGTTGGACCAGATGATCTCAAGATATCCCTTGCAGCCTCAGCTGATCTCTGATTCTGTGAAATTCCTACTGGCATGAGAATAGCAGCTGGGGTACAGGAGATGGTATCCATCCACCAAGGTAAACAACGCTATAGGACTGAGTATCCTAAGCACATTTTCTTGGAAATTAGCACTTTGCTAGTGGTGGGTTAAGTACAAACCATTTTATGAGACCCAGCAATGTGATAAGTAATTAACTGTAGTTTACTTAATTAATTGAAACTAGCTCAACTGTTATGAGAAATACATTGATGTGAAGAGATTTCTATGGAGAACCTTACACAGAACAGATTCAGAGCTGTTTACAAGACCTAAGGTTTTTCAACATAAGAGATATTTTAAATTGATGTTGATGAAATTACCCTTATCTAAACATATGTTGTTAACAATTCCTGATTAAATGAATTAATCACTTCTGTTAAAGTTAACAGCTTTCCCCTGTTCATTCACCTTCCCCCCAGATCCCCCCCCCCAAAAAAAAAGAATTAATTAATTAATTAAGTTTTATTTATGTGGAAAAGCATTATATTTGTAGCATAGCTGTGCCCAAGTTACCTGATTTCATAGAGAGATAGTGTTTTCTTAATTAATGTAATATCCCTCATAACTAAAGGATACTTATTGGGGTTGTAGTAAATATTGATCTGAACTAAATTTTAATTTAAAATATAATAGGCTAAACATTTTTGAGAGAATAAAAATATATTAATATAGCACTCATTGATTTCCTAGAAATATATGTGTGTGTATGTATATATGCATATATATATATATACACATACAGGTTAAATAATATAAATAATGATGAAGTATTTGATTTTCATACCTATAACTAGAAAACAAACAAACAAAAACAAAGCAAAGTTTGATTTATTGGTTAAAAGATACACTCAGTAGAAAAAATTTATGGTGTCTTTTCTTTCCTGGAAAGAGGGATCATAGTTATTTTATAGCTTTCACTGTCAAAATATGAAATCTTGTTCATCCAGCATTTATACAGCTTTTAAGTCTTCTACAGATAGAACCAACTATTTTAATAATTTAGCACACTACTTGTGTTTTTTTTTGTTGTTTTTTGTTTTGTTTTGTTTTTTTAAATAATTCTAAATTTTAATAGTAATTAATTAATATCAGTACTGAGAGCTGCATACACCTGGGAAGAAAACACTGAAGAGCTTTATATGGTAAAATTGGATATTTTGAGCTTCCAATGTGATACAAATCCTTGAAAAAGTTTAGACAATGCATTTTTCCCTAGGAGTCTAATATTTCTCTTGCCTAACACTTCTCACTAAACTGATACTTCTAATAATTTTACCAGTCTTTTAAATCATGTGGCCTTATTTTTTATTATGTTTTACTTGTATTAAGGCTGATGCAATTTAAAGTTTGTACTTCTGCTCCCACTCACTTTGAGAGATGCACTAGAGGTACATAGGTAAAAGTGCCAACCAATAGATTACTAGGTAAAATTATGTTCAGTTAATATACCCACACTGGAAACATGGGGATCAGTTATCTCTGTGGTTTAGTACTGAAAATTTAATGGAAGAGCACTGCATCCTTTGTCTTTTCATTTTGGTAGGCAACAGAGTAAATCAAATGGAAAACACAGATGAGAGAAAAAAAAAAAAAAAAAAAAAAAGATGCTGCAGTATTTCACAGATAGATGTCCTCTGGCTCCTCAAAGCTGGGTCAGGTTGAGAATCAGGTTGTCTGGAGCTACTCAGAAGGGCTGAAGTTCTTTAACTCTCTTCATTTGCCAAATATTTCACAGTATAGAAACATATATTTTCTATAGATAGAACATTAAACAATTACCCTAGTGGTACCTTTTATACAATAAAGTACAAAATTACTATAAACCCATTACACTTTACATCATTAGTATGCTCCTGAATGACAGAACATGATGTAAATAAACTTCATGCAAGTATAGCTCAGGATTACAAGTCAAGTCAAAGAGACAAAAGGAACTAATGTTCAAGAAAACATACATGTATAAAAAACATGTATAAGTTCAGAGTGGGTAGGTAAAGGAAAGAATATCTCCTCCAAACAAAAGATATTTTCTTTTTCCCCACTTCATGGGACTTACAATTAAGATTTATATCTAGAAAATGTTTTCTTGTTTCGGTCATTCCAAATATATGAAGAGTAGTTTGAAGTAAAACTTAGAGAATTATGTATATATGAGACTCTTTGAGTTTTACTGACTTCAAAAGGACTCATTCTGTTAGTAAAGTTTCCTGCTAGTGATTGCTGTGAAAGGGCTAGATGTGGAAAGGAAACAAAAATTGAAAAATAACTGATGGGCAGGGAAAAAGAATTATTGATGAACCAGCTAGAGAAAATACATAGTACTTGATAGCATCAAAAATTTATTTCGACACACAACCTGAATCTGCAACACAAGGAATATTGCTGGAGTTAACAACATTAAAAAAAAAAAAAAAAGTAACTTTTTTTTTTTAATTTGTTCCAGAATTTAAAACAAACAACACATTTGAAGCCAGAAAATGATGTTATGGGAAGATCTTAATTTCCTTCATTATTATTTTTTTTTATTCCCAAGAAAGTTCATTTTCATTCAGATTCAATAGAAAACATGCTAATTTTGCATTTATATCCACAAAAAATAATTAAAAAAAAAAAAAAGTATTAAATGTCTCATAAACAGATAAACAAGGGATAGGATTAGTTTCTGAAACAACTTCTGCAAAGTCATCCTGAGTTCAGGGATAGTTAATTCTGCCACCCTGCCTTAACTGTACTCTTTAATGCAAAGTGTATAGACTAACACCCTTTTTACACCCAGTCAGTTACTAATTTTCTGCTCTTGTATCTTTCTGGTCCATCTGGATCCCTCCTTTTTTCCCCTTTTGGTTCTTTCCCTAAGCTTTCCATGCTGTTATGAAAATTCCCACTATGACATCGAACCACTCCATAATAACCTTTGCACAATCCCTACAAGCTTTTCACTTGCATCCAATAAAAAAACATATGTTTCTTATCACGTGTCCTTCAACCTGTCTGTGGAAAAGGGAGGGAAAATACGATGTAAAGAGCTCAAGGGTTGAGATAAGGACAGGGAAATTGCCCACGAAGTATCACGGCCAAAACAGACTCAGCATAGGGATTAGGGCAATATGCTACTTATCACTGACAAGCTAGAGAAGTGAGAAAAAAAAAAAAAAAAAGAGAACAAACTAAAAATACCTCCCCCCCATTCATCGTCTTCTACCTCCTTCCCCCAAGCAGTGCAAGGAAATCGCAGATCCCCTGCTCCCGTGTGGGCTCCCCTCCACAGGCTGCAGCTCCGGCCTGGGGCCTGCTCCTGCAGGGGCTTTCCATGGGCCGCAGCCCCCTCCAGGCCACATCCACCTGCTCCACTGGGGGCTCCTCCATGAGCTGCAGCGTGGAGATCTGCTCCATGGGCTGCAGACCCATGGGCTGCAGGGGGACAGCCTGCTCCACCAGGGGCTTCTCCACAGGCCACAGGGGAACTGCTGCTTCGTGCCTAGAGCACCTCCTGCCCTCCTGCTGCACTGACCTTCGGGTCTGCCAGGCTGTTTCTCACTCCTTACTCTCCCAGCTGCTCTTGTCCAGCATTTTTTTTTTTTTTTCAATTTTTTCCCTTTCTTAAATCTGTTTTCAAAGAGGCATAAACATCACTTACTGTCTCAGGTCTGGGCAGCAGTGGGTCTCTTTGGAGCCAGCAGAAATTGGCTCTTACCTAACATGGGGCAGCTTCTGGATTCTTCTCACAGAGCCTGCAGCCCCCAACTACCATAACCTTGCCATGTAAACACAATACAAATTCAGGAAAAATACATTTTTATCATCTATATTTTATCATCTGTAGTCTGTACAGTTCATGTTAAACTCAACTTTGACTAAATGAGTCAGAGTGAGTGTAGGAATAAATATTAAAGTAAGAATGCACCTAAGAACAAAAATATAGTGATTATTATAGCGTTTGTGTTCTTTGCTGATGTATTCCCAAACTGTCACTCATGTTCTTACATATGTAAATACATGGTTAGCGTTATGACTGAAGCTAGATTGATATCCAGACTGTCTGATATTATTATTAAACAACAAAGTCAGTGTATAACTGCTACTTTTTGGGTTTTACTTCTATGTACAATTGAATTGGAGGAGCAGAGCGAGACTGGACCAGACAAGAAAGGTACATCACAATATAAAAATTTTGTTTCATAAGTCAATCAAAAGAATTATTATTCATCTTAACTCTATTTCTCTGAAAGACAAGAATATCTAACTTGTGATCTTCATCCACAATAGAGTATTTCATTAAAGTACGTTCACTGAAGGACAGGGGAAAAAAAACTTAGCCTAATGGAAAGCAAAATAATTTTAAGAATGTATTTACAGTATTTCAGTATTTACAGTATAATAATATATTATTATCTTGAAAGTCTTATAGAAATCACTGTTTCATTTACCTACATCTAAACAGGTCTAAATATTTCTGTTCTTTTTTTTTTTTTTTTTTTAATGCTTTTTAATTTCTCAATTAACATATCACTGTTGGAATCTCTTTCCGTATGGTCTTCCTTCTCCAAATAATAGCATTTGATAATATCTGTCTACAAGTGACATAAATTCAACTTCAATTCATTTTTATAAATGTATGTCTGATACAATATTTATGTGGAAAAATTGGTAAGATTTTTCTGATTTTAGTGGGTCGAGCATTTGAAACATGAAATTCAGATAAAAATCTGCAGTAACCTCACTCAGTTAGGAACTGGGTTTGTATTAGTGAGGTAGAAAAGCATGTCAGTTGAACAAAAATATATGACATCATTTTCTGCACTGACATGCCTCGTAGGGTCTTAATAACAGAAATATTTTATTGCAATTGAAGAAAAAAGGTGACATCATTTTTCATACAGTGTTGAGAAGTGATGACTATAAAAAATAATAAAATACAGATTTTGATAATGTCACCACATTTGACTTATCATGCATGAAAAGGTCAGAGCCAGAGTATTTTGTAAGACTCAGATGAAGTCTCAAGACATATAGAGCAGATAATTCAATAGTTACTTGGTTATATTAAAAGATTGCTAGTTCATAGACAGAAAACTTGTCTTTAGCTTTGACATGACAAGTGCCCTATCAAAAGTTTTCATCTCACAAGTTGCTCCTGACCTGTTTTTTTCCTTTTATTTCTTTTTTCTTTTCTTTTCTTTTCTTTTCTTTTCTTTTCTTTTCTTTTCTTTTCTTTTCTTTTCTTTTCTTTTCTTTTCTTTTCTTTTCT